AAGGAAAATGTTGAGCGGTCGACTTCACTTAACATTGAGAAGGTTATTAACATAAACATGCAAAAAGGATGCCAAATCCTATCGGCATCCAACACCTAAACATACTATGGTTCCTCCTTTTGCTCGCAAATTAGGGGGTGTACTCGGACATGAGAACATCAAGCATCAAAGGGTAAATCATGGTAAACATAGATGAATGATCCAAGTAATGCAAGTATGAATCCACTATGGTTTTCTATTACAAAGAGATGAAGGGGGTATGATGGTATGGAGATGGTTGATGTCGTAGTCCTCTTGACGGAGATGATGGTGTAGCAGAGCCCTTATATTAATTCCCCCTCCGGATCCCTTCTGGAGGTTAGGGTTCTTGGTTCTGGCGAAGTTTCTAATCTCTTTGTGCGTCTGCTTCCCGATCCAAAGACTGGGGCTAACATAATTGACCAGGCGGTAGCGGCTGGTACGAGTGCTCATGTGTGTCCGCTTACTGCTTTGGTAGAGCCAGTGTGTGAAGGGTGGGTTATATGCATTCTGTCCCACGAGCACCAACCGTCCAGGTCCGCGAGAACAAGGACCTGGGCAGGGAAAGCGCAGGTAAAAGCGATACGCAACGCCCGAACATGCAGCATGGCGACCTGGACGAACGCAAACAAAGTCGTATAGCCAAGCCCAACACAACTCCACACGTCAATGCCGGGCATGCAACACGTACGCCGACTCGGGTGCACGCACGAGCCGGCCAAGTCCGGGTCCGTGAGGCATTGCATCAAAGCGAGGCGAAGGACCCGGGTCCGGATCCATGCGCGATAAAGACCGAAAGCTTAGAAGGCTCAAATCTAACCAATTTCTCGATTGCATCGGACCCATATGTGCCGGACTCGGTGCAAGGGACACACCTCGATGGATAGACGCTTGCGTTTATTTTCTTTGTTATTCCGCGCTTCTCTACCATCGCCACCTAAACCAATGTTCACGCCTGACCTCTCCAGCACCGAGGTCGTTTCTAAGTGCGGCCAGTACGAACAAGCACTTGCCATGATCCATGGGTAGTTGTCCCTGTTTGTTAGCTTGTTCTTGCTTCTTGGTGTTTGTTTCCATATGTATTGTTATTCATGCTAATGCCCTTTGGGAATAACTTATAAAACGAACATTTATTAAATGTTGCCCATAGCTTGCTTAACTTCTTGGCTACAGTTGGTCTTTGCGCCAAGGGCGCAATGGGTTATCTAGTTCAAATTAAAACATGCATAGAGTTCATCCAAAAGGCACCACATCGATCAAGTTTGATCCGAAATCACCACAACATAACATGTCTTATCTCGTGGATCGTGCCCTACCAAAGGCATGTTTTGTGCTCATCAACTCGAGCACTTTTGTGCTCATCACCTCCAAAGAAAACATCACCACGCCCCATGGCCACTACCACCACCTCCAGGACACCACCGTCACTACCGCTCGACCACCACTATCACCTCCATGGACACTACTACCATCACCCCCATGGACACCACCACCATCCCCCCCACGAGAGGCCTTTGATTGGGCTATGATCTCTAAACAAGTGAGCTCCCAATACTTCCTTGCTGTGGCATCCATCGTGCTTGGGTCCATGAACATGGTAGCCCTCTCTTGGGCCTTCTTCTCTTTTGCAAGCCTTTCATCCTCGAGTGCAATCCTCCGCTCCTTCACCTTCACCTTCCTATCTTCGGCCACGAACTTTGACCTCCCTTCTCGTCCTCCAAGCACTTGAGCTTGTTTCACTTTGCCGTCTCGTCATCTTTGCATTCGGTCGCCAATGATTTCTTGGTCTCAATCATAGCACAAAAGTCCTTTTTGTAGGCACCAACACCTGCATGATTCTTACTCTCTTTTGCAATTTTGTTACCATCTGGCCTCTTGAAAGGGTATTCATCATCCTCGTCATTGGCTTCAATGGATATGCTAATCCGTGACCTCTTTGGTGTGGTGTCGAAGTTCCTCGGATCCACTTCTCATTGCCAACTAGTTCCTTGTAGCAATGATGCAATGTGAAGGCCTTGCCACCATTCTTCTTGTTGCGTTGCTTGTATAGGTCCTGGATGATAGGCCCAAACTCTATGATTGGCACCCCACTGGGTGGTGCATTGTTGACTTGATCAATACAACCGGACCATTGGTTGCATTGCTCTTGGATGGTGCCCCAACAATGTCCAAGAGAGCCTTGAGTGCGGTTGGATGAGACGGCCACGGTGTTGGAATAGTAGTCTTCAATCCTACTGCAAAACCTCTCCTTGGTTTGATTTCTGTGAACCGATGCATCAGGCTACACGTTCATCCAAGCATGACACAAAGCAATATCTTTGTCTTGTGAATAGTTTTGTGTCCTTGATCTCTTGTTATTTGCTTGCATATGTCTACTAGATCTCTGACCTCCTCCTCCTCATCAGGATCGTCATCCTCCTCGGTCTCTTCTCCCTGAGCTAACCTTGAACCATCGTAGTCTAGATCGTCAAGGCCAAGCACATGTGAATCATCCAACTATGACTTGAAGTACGCCACATTCATCACAACAGCAGTTATGATGGTCGAACGAGCCGGGCGAGGGGGCGGAAGAGGCAGAGAGGTGGCTGGACAAGCTAAGACCCACCGGACGAGGACGAGGCATCAACGTAGATACCGGCACCTATTCGGTGAGTGCCTTCATTGTCTCCGCTAGCTTCCTCGCGCGCTTGCCGTTGGCCGGAGCAAGGGGAGGGTGACCTGTCGTCATTGCGGCCGCTGCGACCTTGGCACCGGCCATTGTTGACAGCGTGGCTGCCCGCACAAAGTTTCTTGTCCCCAACCTTTTGACGTGGGCGGGGTGGTGGAGGAGCGTTCTGGTTCCATTCCGGCCGGAGTCGGGGGCTGAGGTGGCGG